ATATATTTCTTTTTGTCTTGTTATTCAAACTTCTTAATATCTTAAGTTCTGAAGATTTATGATCAGCGTCAGGCGGAGGAAATGTGACCCAAAGATGAGAGTGATGTGAAAAGTATTGGATCAACCTGATTTGATCGATTCACCTCTGGGTGATTGCTTTCACAAGTGGGTGAATTATATTCACCCATATGACTACATATGGGTGAATTCCATTCATCCATATGTATTTTATTTCACACGTGGGTGAATGGAATTCACCCATATGTGATCACCTCTGGGTGATTGCTTTCACAAGTGGGTGAATTATATTCACCCATATGATTACATATGGGTGAATTCCATTCACCCATATGTATTTTATTTCACACGTGGGTGAATGGAATTCACCCATATGTGATCACATGTGGGTGAATGGAGTTCACCCATATGTGATCACTTTCACATTTGGGTGAGACATTCACGCAGCTGTGGACTTGAAAATGAGAGTGATGTGAAAGGTATGGTATCAACCTGTTTTGATGGATTCACCTCTGGGTGATTGCTTTCACAAGTGGCTGAATTATATTCACCCAGGTGACTTACATATGGCTGAATTCCATTCATCCATATGTATTTTATTTCACACGTGGGTGGAATGGAATTCACCCATATGGTGATCACCTCTGGGTGATTGCTTTCACAAGTGGGTGAATTATATTCACCCATATGATTACATATGGGTGAATTCCATTCACCCATATGTATTTTATTTCACACGTGGGTGAATGGAATTCACCCATATGTGATCACCTCTGGGTGATTGCTTTCAAAAGTGGGTGAATTATATTCACCCATATGATTACATATGGGTGAATGGAATTCACCCATATGTATTGTATTTCACACGTGGGTGAATGGAATTCACCCATATGTGATCACCTCTGGGTGATTGCTTTCACAAGTGGGTGAATTATATTCACCCATATGATTACATATGGGTGAATGGAATTCACCCATATGTATTTTCTTTCACACGTGGGTGCTCCATTCCCCCATATTTTCACACATGGGTGAATTCCATTCACCCACGTGTGAAAATATGTATTTTATTTCACACATGGGTGTTCCATTCACCCATATTTTCACACATGGGTGAATGGAATTCACCCATATGTAATCACGTATGGGTGAAGGGAATTTCCATAAGTAAACATTTTCACATTTAAGTGAAACATTCACGCAGATGTGAAGTTGTGGGTTGAACATTTACCCGGTGAAAATGATGAAATATATGATGTTCACCCTTGGTGGGTTAATTTCGGATTCACGCGTATGTAGGGGTTTTTACATGCATTTGTAACGTACTTTTCCGGGGTTGTTATATGACTCTGATAGTGATAGTAAGTTAAATTCTAGAATGAAACTTATGTGGGAGGTACATGTGAAATGCTCATGTGGGATTTTGATCCGTGGATTAGTCTCTGTGCCAGATTCACATGTGTGTGATTGGCATTCACATAGATGTGAATGTGACGTAAGTGTGATTCTCTCTTAAATGTAGGAGGTATATGTGAATTTCACATGTGTGATTCAGGGACCCTCCATCACATACTGATGATTTTGATCCATGGGTTATTCTTTATGTGTCAGAATCACATGGGTGTGATTGGGATTCACATGGATGTGAATGTCAGATTGGTGTAATTCTGATCTAAATGTGGAAGTTATATGTGAAATTCATTGATTTGGGGGCGCTCCATCCCATATGTGTGATTTGGACCTGTGGTCTGTCTTGATGTCTTGGAATCACATAGGTGTGAATGGGTTTCACACTCATGTGAATCAGATTCACGTCAGTGTGATTCTGATTTCCAGCGTCACCCACGGGTACACGTGGACCTTGACCATATGCCAGTTCATGGGCGTAGATGATGTTTTAGGTGCTCCTAGCTCATCTAGTGATGGAAGGAGAACTCAAAAATGGCTTTGCGTCCGACGCGTCGGGGAGTCGGCGCGTCGGAAAGGGGCGTTTCGGCTAATAGTCGATAGGAAAGACACGTTTCCTATCGACTTAGACCCGACCCGTCGGGTAGGCACAGGTGCCTGATAGCTTTGAACCTTCTTCGCTTGATTTCCAAATTCTCTTATAGATCCCTATCAACTTTGCTTTTGATATGACACTCCTTTGTCCATTTTCTAAATAGGAAAATAGAGGGTCCTTCGGACCCGTTTGATTATCGCTTACCATCCTCCACAACGCTGACGTAGCGTCAAGATACAATTGTTGCTCTTTTAATTTGATGTATTGTATCTGGCCTGGTTGTGCCGTCTTTGCGTTATGTAAGGCGATTGTGACCTTCTTTCCTTGTCCTGTTACCTGTAAGTCCCTGAATTGAATCAACTTCTTTCCTTTATCGTCTGACACTAACTCTCCCAAACGTGCCATTCCCCAGAAAGCTACCAGCGCTACCGTCAGCGCAACTTGATCTCTCTTACTTCCATTTGACAGTTTCCTCAGCAGCTGGAGGAGGTGCCTCAACATAACCGGCTGTTTCCTTTCCTTTTCCGACGCTCTAATCACCGCCTCTGCCATCTTTGACGATTTTAACAAGATCGAAAGCTTCAAGGGGTCGTACTTAGGATACTCCTCATCGTGAAATAGGTGCCAACACTTTATTCCTGTAAGATACTTTTTCAATGTCTCCACCTCAATCGTCGTGTCCTGATTGCTCTTTCCTGTCTTCCCGTCTCCTTCTAGCTTCTTTCCTGCCCAAACTACGAACTCATATAATACACTTAGCGACATCGGTAACAATCGTTTCCTGTCATATTCTTTTTCTTGCGCGAATTTTAATAATTTTGATACACCGCTATTATAATTGATAAGCGTCGATTCCGCCCATCCTCCTGATAACATGTGAGTTTGAATACAATTTTCTCTCCACTTAATTTCTCCTCTTGCGTTTTGTAAAAATAACTTGATCTTCTGTTCCGTCTTCGCTGAAATCATGCTTCCACTAATAATAATTTTAGATCGTCTGGTAATTCTATCTTCACCCTCTCTCCGACTTGGTCTTCCTCTTCCAGGCCTCTCGATAAACCGTCCGCCTCGTTGTCTCCGGATTCAACTCTTTCTTCCGTTATATCACACTGTAGGCGTAAGAGTAAGGACTGAATCTTCTTCCACTCTTCATTCACCTGCTCACTTTTTGACCTTCGTTTATTGATTGTAGACTCTGTGGTTGTGTTATCGGTCTTTACCCAGAAATTTCGTCCTCTCGTATCGGTCGAAACTTCCAACAACAGCAAACCTAATCTTATTGCTGCCGTTTCGGCCCATGCAATGTCACGACGTGTCTCATCGTCTTTCAATCCGATCGTCGGCCAACCTTCTTTCAATTTGAATCTCACCCAACCAAGGTCTGTTACAACTCCTAAACCGAATCCGCTTGCATCACCTACCCATCCTATCCTCTCTGGTTCCACCGCAGGGATGATTCGCCTAGGTTCAAATGTTTCCAACACTTCCTTCCAACTCTGTAAATCACACCTCGCCGCTCTCGGCAAGAACCGTTTGGCGTTCGTTTTCTGCCACGGGTTGAGCCACGCATACAAACCTCTCATGTACGGCTTCATATGGGGTACAATGTACATTAGATGCGCGATCTTCCCGATAACCGAATCTGCTTCCTTCAATCCCCAAGGTCCTTCACCTAACATTTTCTCTACCGCTTCCAATCTTTCCGCTAATTTCTCCTCCGGCAACCGCACCGTCTTATCGCGTCTGTTGAAGATAAACCCCAAATACTTTTGCTCATCAATAAATTCTCTCAGTTTCTCCTGGTTTGTCTTCACGCCCATCTCCGTGCTCAATCTTACTACGTCCTCGATCATCAGCTTATCACCCTTGACTTTCACAATCATATTGTCGTCAACCCATCTGAATATTCGGTCTATTTTCAATTTCCTCTGAACTATCAACCTCCACGCGTCCGCCACCTTTCCGAACGTTCCGCATCCCGCTACACCATCAAATGGCACAGCTATGTCCATCCATATTCTGTTGTAAAAGTCCTTTATCATTAGGTAACGCCACTCTTCTTCCTTTGTGCAGGCTTGTCTGTAAGCTTTCTCCCAGTCATATATTGCCATCAATAGGACTTCGTGGAAATGTTCTCTGAAGTATCTAATTACCGCATAAAAGTCGTCCCATGATGTGTCGAATTCATGCTTGTCTACCATCGAATTGACTGAAGGTATTTCTTCATCTCCTACCGGATAAGATAAATCATTTATCATCCGTAGGGAGCCGTTGTTGTTAACCACACTCCCCATCGGGTTTGTCCTAAAGAAACCCCACCTCTTATATACCTCTTCATGTGAAAAAGGACCAAATACTCTTCCCGCGTTTTTCTCTTTCTGTAAGTTCCTCATTATCTTTTCTTTCACCGCTAGGGCTGAGCTATGGTTGTCCGGTGTCCACCACCTTTTCTTCCCCAGATAGTGCTCCGGGATTCCTTGCGTGAACCCTTCTATCAAGCCTTCTATCACTCCTCCTACTTCTCTTTCGACTCCACACTCTCTAGCCAACTCTCTCCACCTCTTGATGTCCATCTCACACCTTGCTCTCACCGGCCATTTCGTCAAGTTCCGACATCCGACTTCAGTAGCTCGATTCCTTGTCCGTTCACCATCTCTTTCCTGCGCCTCCTCTCTTGACAACAAGGCTGGCTGTGCCTTCTCGCTGAGGATCTCCTCTATCCTCTCAGGTTGATCTTTTATCGTCGCGCTCGACTGGTTTGTCAACGTTCTCACTCGTGACGACCTGGAACGCGATCAATGGCAAATTCAGGTGTGTCTCAGCAACATTCTTGGTTTCTCACAATTTGCGCTCATCTCATCTAACAAGGAGACTCATGACATGGGGGCATATTTTTCCATTTCATAGCTGACATTTGCAACTTCTCTCATTCTCTTTCACTAACACAGAGAACGAAAAGGTGATATAATGATGTTCCTACTCACTGTGTTCCTGCGCTATTCCCACTTACTCCGGCTTGCTTCGCCGCTTTAACCGCTTCAAACGCTCCTGGACCGAACTTTGGTACCGTTACCCCGTTCACTACAGTCGTAGGGCCTGAGGGCGCGCCACCTCGCGTACCTCCTCCTCTATTTCCGTTTCCTCTGTTAAAACCTCTGCCGCGCTTCCCTCTTCCTCTACTACCCTGATGAAAATTCACACCTCCTGCTCCTTCTACTGACTCGTGCTGGTGATTGCCATAATGCCCATTCACTTCACCGAAGAACTGACCGGTCGGAGCGTGCGATTGATTTCTCCCGCTTGGCGCTAAATGGGAGAACATCCTTCCACCAGTCACTGCTGTGATTTGTTCATCTCCGTTCGATATCATATCCCAACCAACTTGAAACCTGCCCGTTGCCGGGTTCACATTTTCCATCACACCACCTATGATATACGGGTTGTCAAAATACCGGTGATCTTTGTTCGCTTTTGAATCTATTATAGCTTGTTCTACTAGCTCTTCATTCCTAGTTCCGACATCCGATAAAGAACCATCTTCAAGTGTGTGGCTGAACACGTTCGTTCGGTGAGTTATGTCGTACCTCAGTGCAGGAGCAAACGCGTCATGGTTTTTTGCCTTTATATCTAACACAATTTTATAATGCTCTTCCAGCCTGCAAGCAATCTCTTCTTGTTGATATTTCATCCTCCAATATTGAACATACAAATGAAACAAAGTTGACCACATCAAGAAACTCTGTCTCCATTCACTCGGCACTCTTAGTCCTACATACGCCACCACGTCTGAGCAAGAAGAACTTTGTTTTTGCCAATTCGACATGTGATTCTTGTCTGCCAGAAGCCACGCCGGTACGAAGATTGTAAGTGGTACGTAACCAAAGCAGGCTTTCATCCTATTATCCCAGTAAGGGGCTAGGTCTATCAATCGGTGTGTTAACACCTTCCCGTGATTCATCTTCTTAGCTATCTTCGACGACTTCTCGGTACCGCACTCCTTCGCCTTCCTTTTCCCAGCACCTGACTCTACATCTTCCTCTTCTTCACTCGACGCATCTAACATTTTGATACCTCTCGGATCAGTTCCTATTCTTTTGCACCATTTGGTGTAAGCTTTGTCAAGGATGTCATATCTGCCGGTGTTCCCCTTTCGATAGAGTCTCGTTAGCTCCGCTAGGTATTGTTCATGTTCTCTATCAATATGTGCGTTCTCGGCAACAAACTCTGCTTTGTCTTTTGCCACCACCAAATTACACAACAGAAAAACACGACTACGTTAGCTATCTTGTAGCGTTATCACTCTCGACACGGTTTATTTCATCACACGGCTTATCATCACAACACGTCGTCTCACACCTTTGCTCTAACCACATCTTATCTTTGATCTTATATCAAGATATTCAAGCCAGGGTTACATCTCCCTATTCAAGCCAGAGCCATTTGCTCTATTCAAGCTGAAGAATATACACATCTTATCTAGCCAGAGATATTTCTCTATTCAAGCTTTTTTAACTTCAATATCTATTGTAGGTCTTTCTCTCTTTCTACATCTAGCCACGTTTTCTGAGATCTGTTCCACCCGTGTGGTTGCAGTCTTTTCTCTTGATTGATGATTTTCTGATGAAGGAGTGAAAGGATGTGTGGAGGATATATGAAAAGTGGGTGTCTGATATTATTCTTTGGAACTTACCTAATGAAATGATGTCCTCATCTCCCTCATTCTCTTCTATCTCCTTCTCTTCCACCTCTCTATCTTCCTCCTTCTCCTCCATCTTTCCTACACTCACAATATCTGACAACTCGCTTCCTTCCTCATTATCTTCCTCTTCTAGCTCTTCTCTCGGCTCTCTTATTTTTCCTTTCGTTATACTTCTTGTTTTCCTAGTTGTTGCTGTTCCTCCTCTTCCTCTTCTGCTTCCTCTACCTCTTCCTCTAGTTGCTTTGCTTGTTCCTCTGCCGCGTTGACCTCCTTCTTCAATTTTTCCTTTTTCTTTTTCATGTTGAATCAGAATATTGTTCACGTCTTTGTTGAATGCTTGTGTTGATCCTTGATCTTGGCCGTCCATGTCTTCTTTGTTTTGAAAATGAAAAACTTTGTTATTTCTATTTTGGAAGTCTTAGCGCTTTAAGAATCGTAAATTCTAGCTGAGGTGTATGAGCGTTGAGAGGTATACCAAATTGTGAAATTGAAAATTTTCCGGATTTGTATTATCTCTCTGCTTAGTGGGCCCGGGTATTTCCCGGCCCTGTGTTTAGCTCATACACCGCGTCGTCTGTCCCAATGGACCTCACAGATGATGTTGTGCCTTTGGCCACCAGTGGCAATCATAAATCAAGTTCGGATTTCTCATTCATTTTGATCAATCAAGTATTTTACTGGGATCATCATGATTCGCAACCTTAAACCCATTCACAACCGGGAACACTAAAGGTCACCCGGTGTCATGTAAGGAAGTCAGCGCAAATCGGTTACAATTAGGGGATACAAAGTTGAAATCCGGCCGAAAATCCGGCCGCGTGGCCAGAAATCCAGATCCCTTTTTTTTCTGGCCACGAGTTGAAATTTGGCAAAAAAAAAAATCAACAGATCACTGGCCAGTTCCCAGGCCGTAATCATCTCAATTCAATTAATCTCAATTCACTCCTCAATAAAGCCACTTAATTATCATATCATGACTAATTCTGATACCCTTCAATCGGATTCCACCAACCCTTCTTCCGAAGGGGATGTCGAAGTTCTCTCCGGTTCTCATTTGACACCAGGCACTCTACAAATCAACCCTTCCACTCTCAGTCAAGTGCTGACTGGAGCAATCCAACTTGCTCAGTCAGGCAATTCTAAAACAACCAACTCTTCTCAGAAGATGCGCTCAAAAGAACCTACGGCAAAAGCGCGTGCTAAACGAACTCCAGCAAAAGCTTCTCCTACTCCTACTCCTAAGTCAAAACCTCCAGCTAAAGCCAAATCTCGTAACTCAAAGTCGAATAAGTCGAAGAAGACCAAGAAGACTGAACACGATAACGATAATTCGACGTCTTCTGACGAAAATGCTGACGAAGATCACAAAACTACGATTCATTGGGAAAACGATGATAATGGCGAAGGAAAATCTTCGATGTACTTACTTATCAATTGGCTCACGGACGATGACAACTTTACTAGATACAAAACTAACAAAACAGAAAAGAGAGGTTCAGCTGAAGAGATCGAGAAGTACTTGATCAAGAATGGCATCTTATGGCGAGATGCAACTTCAATTAAAAAGAAGGTACTTTTGTTATTTGTATTTGATTCTTCATGACTTTGAAACTTTCTCAACACCTTTGAATTTGTATTCACTTGCAGATCGCACGTTTAGAGAAAGCTTGGCGTGATGCTAACAATGTACGTAACCAAACTGGATCTGGAAGTTGGAACACAGCCACTGAAATGAAGGCGAATGAGGGTTTGGCGGATGATGATCCGAAATGGCTCAGTATGGAAAAGGCTGCTCTCGGTAAGCATCGATTTTCATGAGCATGAGGCATTGAGTTTGGTTTTCTGAGTCCAATCGCTCTCGTATATATAGCACCCATCTTGAAAAAATGCAAGTATTATTTCGAGCTGGAGCCTGTGTTTGAGACACGACACGGTAACATGAGGCTTGCCGCCGCTCACAGTTTACTTGATGACGGCAAAGAAACCTTCACTCAAAGCGAGCGTCTTTCACGGGAGCATTCAGTAAACTCGAATTTAGCTCATCAAGAAATTCATAACAATGATTATCACTTGGAGTGTGACCCTTTCGAACAATCTCCGAACTCCAACTTAGCTCATGAAGCTCGTTGTTTACCTCATGAAAATCTCCTTGGTGACTCCGAAGATGATATTCCCCAAATGTTCAAAAACGATATTGATGACTTTGAAGATATAATCGACTCAAATCCTATCACACCTTCTTGACCATCGCAAACCCAATATCAACGACCGATTTCATCCACTTCATTGAAACATACATCATCGAAGACTTCTTTAGGAACAGCGAGTCAAGTTCCCCCAACGAAACATGCCCCAAATAGAAAGTCAGGCTCGGCTGATTCCATTCAGGATCTCATTAAAAATAACCCATTAGATGCACAGTTAGATACTATTCAAGGGCCCATCTCACAACAGGCCAGTCAAGCATTAAATCATTTATCACGTTTAGCAGATAATGTGGCTGTCACTATGTTGCCCGATAGACCTACATTGAACGAAGAAGACTGTAAGCGAAAGGCCAAAATCGAACTTGATATGGCTGATGTTCAACTATCGAGCGAAAGGAAGAAACTTGAAGAACATTCATTCAACTTATCCTCAAAGAAAGAAAAGCATTTGCTTGAAATGCAAAACTACAAAGCCGAGGTCGAACATCTACAAATTACTCGGAATGCTCAACTCATCAGCATGTTGATGAGGGAGAACAACATGACTCTTCAGGACGCTATGCTTGCAGCCCAAGCAGCGCAAACGATGCAGAAACCTTCCGGAAGTTGATGATCACAATGTGAGCTATTGGAGTATTTCTCTCAAAATATTCTCATCACCAATCTGATGATCTTTGTTCGTTTAAAGGTGATTTTCTCAGTCTGGAATATTTAACATCCTTCAAATAAAAATCTATAAAATACACGATTAGTTCTAAAAATTTAAAGTTGCGAGTTTCAAAACGTTTCGAAAAACATACATGATATCGAAAAGAGTAATGCTGGACACGTAATACTCCTCTATAAATTAACAAAAGCTTAAAAAAAGAAAATTGTGTACATGAGTTCTTGATATCTTTCATTATCTTGAAGATAAAATTAGTTGAAGTGGAATGCTTGTCTTTTGTCAAAAAAAAAGTTGAGAAAATTAAAGGAATGTATATAGGCACTTGAAGTCTTTTGAAAATGAAAATTGTTAAGTTTGTTATTTAAAAGTGGTCTAAGAAAGCAACCGATGACCACTTTTAGGTCTCACAAATGCCAAATGCTCACATAAGACTCTCAGTGGCACATCACAAAACTGATTCGTTCTAGAATCGAAAATCATTATTATCATAAACTTGATCAGTTTCACAAACGAGTTGTGAAAATAATTATATATAACTAACTAATTACAGTCTGACTACCATCAATCTATCTCTCTTGACGCTATAAATTCAGCAAAAAGGTGGTTCCTTCTGTTCTCATCTCTACCCGACATAGCTAGCCATTGGTCATCTTCTAAATTAGGTGGGTTGGCAGGTGGGTCTTGACGTTGAGCTTCGTTTTGTAGTCCATCAGATATACTACCCAAAACGCCTGACCACTCCTTGTTAATTGAAATGAGGAAGTTGTGTAAGATCAAGCATGCGCGAATCCACTGATTCGCCCGCACAGCCGAAGCTGCATCACTGATAACCAATCGAAGTTCTTTCAACAATTGAAAACGGCCTTTGACCATTCCGTTGCAATGTTCAATAATGACTCGCACCATACTTATTTCTTTGTTGAAGGCGTCTTCATCACCGCGCAGACTGTGACCTCGACACCGTTTGAGGCATGGAATGATGATTTGTGATACTGTATATCCCGAATCAGCCAAAAGATATTCTCCAGGGGAGAAGAACCGTTCTGGAGATTCGAAGAGCTTTGGGGAGAACAAATAAGCCATTGATGAATGAGTAGGATCAAGACAAAGACAAGGTGAAATTGAGTTGAGATAGATCAATGTATGTACTCACTTGCGAAGAACGGAAAACACGTTGGTCGTGTACACTACCACACCACCCCAATTCATAATATATCACCCGACGATGTATATCACAAACCAGCATGGTGTTGAGGGCATAAAACATCTTCCTGGTCCAATAATCCTCGGGTGTTTCATGTGGAGCTGTTGCAAGAGGAATCAGAGTTCCATCGACAAACCCCACACAGTCTTTGAAGAACGATTTCGTCCTGATTTCTTCTTTTAAAGCTGCTCGATGTTGAGTTGAAGGCCACCGGAGATATCTTGGTTCTAAATCAAGGACTGCAGTAATTAGTCGATCGGTCCAATTTCGAATACTCCCTTCTGTGAAGAGACATTTAAAAAATTAAAATTTGTTGAATCAAATTGTACATATACAGCAACCATCTCACCAGAGCAATTGAACATTCGTGCGAGATGATAATGGTCTCCACCATTTCCCGAAGTTCCTAAATTTGTCAGCCCGACCAAAGCCTGCCACCACACGGGTGCTTGCTTCATTTGCGAGTTGTTATGGAAGATCGGATTGTCTTCAATTGCATCAACAAGCTGATTGAATGCAGACTTGGACATTCGTGCCTGTCAATGAAAATTACAAATAAGTATTTGATTAAACTCGTGCATCATGATACCACTTACTAGCTTTATGAAGCCATCGCCACCTTCCTCCAACACTTGCAAAAACCAAGCATTTCGTAACTCCTTACGACCTCGTGAGATGCGGGTGAGAACAAAGCGTTTTTGATTTAGAATTCTGAGGGCGGTGTCGAGAACTTCAAGCTCTGTAATTGCACGTCTCCGGAGTTGGCGTCCGAAGTGAAGAAGTTGGTTGCTCTGATCGATAGCAGGTATTAACTCGATAAGACCAACTAGATACAAAAAAGCTGCCTTCTTTCGATTCTTGTCGGTAACAGCAAGTTGGTGACTTTTTAAAGCTTGAATCATCCGGAAGAAAAACTGAAGCCCGGCGAGATTGAGTTGAAAAGAGGCAAGTGATTCTAAATTGTTCTGAACATATGCTTTTCTTGCATGTCGTGCTTTTTGAATAGATCTCTTGAGGGCTACTTTGCGAGTAAAACGTGGCATCGATTTGTTGCTAAGTGAAGTGGTGGCAAGTTGAGTGGATATGTGAGGCGGGTGTGGTGGAAAGTGGTGATGGGATCTGGCCTTCGGGGGGTTCAAAGTTGAGAGAATCCGGCCGCGTGGCCAGATTTCAAATTACCGCAAAAAATGAAATTTGGATTTCTGGCCACGCGGCCGGATTTTCGGCCGGATTTCAACTTTGTGTCCCCTAAATGCTCGTCAAAACCGAGCTTAAATACCTCGATTATCGTATACAAGACTCGGTCTCCTACTTTGACTTCACGACCAAACAAGTATGATCTTCTATCAGGCTCAAATCCTAGTTTGATAACGAAGGACTTCGAGAAGGCGATGAAAACTTCGAATGTTTTGTTGACAATTTTATTGCAAATCCCCCCCAAAAATGACGCACGAGTGATTTCTCTTTCTTATCACGGTTACCATTTATCGATTCTGTTTATATACATTCGAATGACTTAAAACAGGTATTTAATCACCCTTTACATCTCTCAAATTCTTTTTTGCTCTCATCCAACTTTGTAAAAAGATCTTTCATACACTTTTATCCTATTAGATAACCTATATCAAGGTTTCAGTCTTTTAAATTCATCCATATACATGATGATCTCAAATTGTAAAAATTCCTCACCCAAAAGATTGTATAAATCTATCGTCCTATTCCTAGGATTTTCTTATTTCTTTCTTGAAGTGGTCAATTGTGGTACAAAATGGTCAGCAGATGCACCAAAGAGTCAATATCAACTCAGTCCTGATTTCAAGATTTGTTCAGACAAAGTCACTCGAAAGTATGAATTTGTGATCACAAACACAACGGCTGCACCAGACGGATTCCTAAGGACCGTCTTGGCTATCAATAATCAAATTCCAGGTCCTTTAATTGAGGTCAGTTTTTTTTGGTTCTTGTTTAATCGTTATCAAAAAATTGACTGCTGAGTTCTTTGATCACGTAGGTCAACGAAGGAGATTCACTAGAAGTCACTGTCGTGAATCACTCTGGAGGACCACTGACTATACATTGGCATGGTCTTTATCAGGTATGTTGATTGACCTATTTGGTTTTGCTATAAAACAGCCTAATGGAAAAATGCTAACGAACTTGAATCCTTCTCGACATTTCGTCATCACATTTTTTGTGGATGGAATTCAAACCAAACTCATTCAACGTTGTTTGACATGATTTTAGAATGGTACAAAGTGAGTCTTTGCATCTTTTCTCCAAAAGTTTTCACATCAATTTTCGGGAATTGGGGTTACTCACCCCATAAATTCTATTTTATAGTTGGGAAGATGGACCTACAGGTAAATACATTCTTCATAGCTAGAGATAAATCCAAATTAATTTGCTTGAACTATTTTTATGAATTTTCGTTACAAGGTATTACTCAATGTCCAATTGCAGCTGGTATATCCTATACCTACAAGTTTACTGTTGACAACCAGTGAGCAAATTCATGTCCATATCTTTCTTGTGTTCCTTCGAATGGTCAAATCTGACTTTGTTTGATCGTCACAGGTTCGGAACATTTTGTAAGATCTTAAATAAACGTATTTGCTTGATGACCACTTTGACTAACGCTCGAAAAAATCGAAATCTGAACGGACTGATATAGGGTATCAGTGAGTGATCAGCCTTACTTTGAAATCTGATCGTAACAACTAATCAAAGTTCTGTCTCCTTTATCAGCGCACACGCTCTAAATACAATGGCAGATGGAATCCATGGACCACTTATTGTTCATTCCACAAGAGATCCATTAGTGCGAGGTATTGATTTTGATGAAGAGGCAGTTCTAGTCTTGGCAGATTGGTACCACAAGTAAGGAAACTGCTTCATTTTACCTGAAAATGTTGCAAAAAACTGATGAATGATTTCCTTTCTTTTGATGAATTATAGTACTTCAGCCCAAATCATTCACGATATGTTTTACACCGATAAAGGTTACTTTGGTACACCTGGTACACCTAGTCCCAATTCAGTTGTCATGAATGGGGTAGGTGAATGGGATTGTAAATATGCGACTACGCAACAATTTTGCAAACCGACCACAGTCTTACCCGAGTTCAGTGTGGCAGCTGGAAATAAAATTAGATTTAGACTTATCAATTCTGGATCTCATTCTATGCTCTTCTTTTCGGCTGATGAACATGCACTTAATGTGACTGAAGCTGATGCTACTCCCGTACATGGTCGTAAGTGATGTGATTTTGATCATGATCGTTTCAATGAATAACGAGTTTTGATCAGATGATTGGAATTTCTTTGTAGCTTCAAAGGTTCATCGTCTTAAGTTTCATAACGGGCAAAGATATTCTGTTATTGTCACCATTGATTCAAAAGAAGCTGGTAACAGCTTTTACATACGTGCTTCAGCCGATACAGATTGTTGGGCATGGTGTGTCATTTCTACAATCAATTTGAGAATTTACTCGTACTAACTACTCTTCGTAAATCAACAGGGTATCAGCAGATTTACAAACCACAGCTAGAGGTATTGTTAGAGTCGCTAAACCTGGTAAAACATTATCGTCGAAAGACAAGCAAGTTAGACCAAATTCAAAGGATTGGTCAGATCCTGCCAACGGACCTTGTGTTGATCTTGATCCAGATTTGCTATCTCCAATCATACCTCAAGAAGTACCTACCACTGTTGCTGGATCTGGCCAATTTGCGAATGCCTTTGGTTTTGTCTCAGTTCTCGAAGGCGAAAAAGTGGCTAATCCACCACCACCACCATCACCACCTAGCGGTACCGGAAACCCTCGAAACACTGGAATCACTAGAAACACTACAGGAGCATCCAAGGCACTCGGTTCTGATTCTGAAATATCTTTAGGGGCATCTTTATCGACTTCTGATATACCTATCATTCTTAAACGACAAATCTCAACTGGTGTGGATAGTGCTTCCATTCCAGCTGGCACTGCTGCTTTGCCACCCAACTTCACTGTCATTCCTGGTCTTCCTACTATTCCACGTGAAGCAAGAGGTGCTTTCTTTGTGAACAATGTCACTTGGGCAAGTAAGTAACCTGATCTCTGATAAAGGGTTACTGATTGATGATGAGCTGACCAGATAAATGGTGAATATGTAACCTTTTAGCATATCCTTATCAACCTATCATGCATGATCTTGCACCAGGAGGTGTAGGAAAGGTTAACAGTGACAGAGTGGCAAATGTAGTAGTGAGTGATATTCTAATCACCCAATTCACCTTTCTGAACTTTGGCTCATGGGCTTGCCTTGTTTGGGTACGCAGTATCCTACTGAAGATTGGTATGATTTATATCTTGTCAACATGGATCCAGCTTTGGCCCATGCTTATCACTTGGTGAGTTATGAGATGCTACAGAAATTCAAAATGATTACTAATCTGATAAAAAAACAATAATTTGTTAGCATGGAATGGATATGCATATAGTTGCAATTGGACAAGGTCAACCTACACCAGAAAGCTTGGCTAAATTAGATTATAATACTAAGAATCCATTAAGAAGGTAAATCAATCACTCAAACCTGATGAAAAATTAAATCTAGACTCAAGTTTCTTTTGATGAACTCCCAGGGATACTATTGCAATTGCAGCTGGTACATTTGTGGTAGCTAGATTATTCACTGATCTTCCTGGAGTTTGGGCTATGGTAAGTTTTCTTTTTGAGTTCTAGTTGTTGTATGTAGTTTGAGACAATTGATTGATCATGTTTTGTGTTGATTCAAATTTAGCATTGTCATTTTGGGTGGCATTTGTAAGTTCTGGTTGAACTGATCATCAAAAGAGTTGAGGATCTGACTGGCATTTTTTATTTCTCATTTGGTTTCCTACCTATCAAATTCAAATATAAAGGGCCATTGGTAAGTGATCATCTGAATCTGTCTGTTTTTTGTGTATGGTCATTAATTTGTCTTTCTTAAATAGGATTTGCTGGAGTTGTGGTAGTACAACCTGATAAAATTGCAAAATTCAAAATACCAGATGAAAATTTAGCACTTTGTTCTCATGGTCAAGCAAATGAACGTGAACCTGGTCGTCGTAAAAGATCAATCATCACAGAATTCAGATGAAAAATCTTCAATAAAACTGATGAAATGTTTTTCCTCTTAGTGAAAGGTGAGTCTTTCATCCTACAATAAGATAAACTTTTTTATTTTATTTTGAATCACTAAAACCTTTTGTATCATCTTTTCTTTGAAATCATTGCATTTTTGATTTTCTAGGATTACCACATTTTGTAAATATATAGTGTTCAACTTCTACACATGGACAGATTTTAATGATATCCCTTTTTTCTCTCTTTTAAGAGTTGTAAAAACACAGATAAAACTTGTACATATATTTGATAGAGCCAACTTCTGTACTTTGGTCTCAAAAAGACCACACATCCTTTTCTCAAGACATTGATACACACGAATGAACATTATGGTTCAGAACAAAGATAATTCTGCTTGAGCTGTGGACAAATAACGCCCGCCACTTCTAATACACTCAGTGATTCACGGGTAGAGCAAGATCTAAAGGGTAATGAAGAAAATCTGTCTTAGGGATTCATCGAGACCTTGACGTGTAAGCAAACTCGACCATATCGAACTTGCAAGTGGTACCCAAAATGTGATGCTCTCGCATCGGCAACTGTACCTTGAAAGTTTCTTGGTATATAACTCTTTGGTCACCATAGAAGATGACGTCAACGAAGGATACACACATACACACTCCGTTGTAAGAACGTCTCAAGGAGTCCGTATGGCTTCGTTGAGCTCAAGCTGAGGCTCTGTTCAAACCGAGTTGTATGGATGACTTATAAGCCAGCCGGGTTCGCACTGGGCAGGGCATGAATCGCACAACTGGCGCGTGACGGATGCACGATGAGCTTCTGGAATCTGGAGGAGCAATCAAAAGATTCGGGAAGGATGTACCGCTGTGCTTTGCCTATCGGCGGGTACAAGCCCTCGTCCGGGACCCATGGTGGATCAAAAGCTTCTTGCAATTGTTCGATCGAGTTCTTTTATCAATTCTTGAACTGCTTTTGATTACCTTTATTAACTTAAAGATGAAAGATGATACGATCTTATCCATTCCACTGGTGCTTGATCACTTGAAAGGTGTTTGGGAATGGACGATTGGTTTGAATCAGTGCCATCGCATCATCTCGGTTGATGACTAGAATTGGATCGACATCCTTTCATATCAGATTCTCAGTTCTATTTGACCACAGCCAAACCTCATTTTGATTCAGATACAGTCGTTTGCAAAAAGCTTGTCCAAATTTGCCCGCAAAACTCGAGCGATTTGGGATCATTTGGCAGTGAATTTGTGACAAGCTTTTTGAAAACGACTGTATTTCCATTGATATGATCCAGACTCTTTGACTAAAACCATTCAGTCTGTTCTCGGTCCAACAACTTGATGGTCGTATCTCCCTTCCTCAACTAAAGACTAGAGCTTCATCCATGTCGGTGAAGGCGGTTTCCTCCGGGTATCCTCATCATCTTCATTATCGGTTCACCACGGTAAACAAGAACCTGACCTGCAAACAGTCCTAACAGCTGAAAGGAATCAAGGATAGTTATGATCTTCAGGGTGTAAAGAAAATTTGCGGGATACAAAGTAGAATCCGGGTGCCGGATTCTACTTTGTATCCCGTAATTGATCCACTTTCCCTCCACAGCGATCATGACATCAGTCAGCCCTCGCTGTTTGTCTTTTCCTCAATCGTAACCTGTTTGTACAAATTGATGCTGTTCCTGTACATTTACCTTTTTTTAGCTTATGAAACGCAATGGTAAAAGGGTTTCTTGGCTACTCATAATGAGTATAATGAGTTCTAACCAAACCCACAGAGCTTCTATCCTCACGCCGCGCTCATACCTCATTGAAACTCGATTTCATATCACCTGCCTTTCTGCATCTTTAAAACATATAATTCTGATCCCATAAAAGGGTCGATCATCATTCTTCAGCGTTTGAACTCGTGAATGCCATCCACTTGTGAATTTCACCAATTTCATTCTTACCTCGCCAATAGTATATACTCAGTAGCTTCATAGAAATTCAAGCTTTGAATTTCATTTTCACAGAAGACTTTTTTAACGTATCTGGTGTTCATATTTATAAAACTTCAACCTCTTTAGTATACGAACTGAATAGGCGGAAATTAATTGAGAGGCCCAAGTATCAAGTATCATGCACTTTCAGAACATTTTACTTTTCTTCATCGGATTTGTCTATATCGGAACATGTTTTCCTCAGAAGAAATTGGCACAACCTAGTACTGAATACATCCTAGGCGATTTCGATATCAATTCTGGGGCCGTTACAAGGAAATTCGAGTTTGTATGCACCAATACTACAGCTTCACCAGATGGATTCTTGCGCGGTGTTTTAGCGATCAACAATCAAATTCCAGGACCATTGATAGAGGTTAATTGTCATTTTTAAACCTCGATTCACAAAGTTTTCGAGATAATAAAGATTCCATGTTTTGGATTACAGGCGAATGAAGGGGATCATCTTGATATCACTGTGATCAACAATTTAGATAGCGCTTTGACTATTCATTGGCACGGGCTCTATCAGGTGATTAATTTTTCTCCCACTTCTCACTTCCCCACTGTTTCATATCTCAATTCATATGAGAGAGCTCTGACGAGATCATCTCCAAAACTGACCAATTCTCGCCTCTGACAATTTTGCTCACGCCTTTTCATCGATGAAAATGATTCCAGAATGGCACAAAGTGAGTCGATCCTATGCATACCATAGTCTTATCTCGTGTTTCCCTGGTTTATTTCTATATATATTGAACCTATGATGTAAAATCACTGACTATTCGCATCAAACTACACCTTGTGATGACTGATCTCTCAGTTCAGAAGATGGGGTAACAGGTAAGGACCTTTATTGCGATGTCTGTAGAGAGGGTTTGGAGAATCAAGACCTTTGTGTCCATCACTAGGCATCACGCAATGTCCCATTCCATCAGGCGGAAGGTACACCTATAAATTTCAATTGAATGGCCAGTGAGCAACGAGCTTTTATAGATTCTCCCAAAAAAGGTGATAAGCTCACTATTTATGAATCTTTTAGGTTTGGTACATTTTGTGAGCCTTCAGAACCAGAGAATTCTCATGCGGACTGACCAACTAACATTATCAAAAATTGAATGTCACTCGTCTGACAATTGATTTTGACATCTACGTAGGGTACCAGTGAGCTTTTGCACCCTTTTCCAAGAAATTATTTGAGTGAAGACGCTAATACTGTGTCTTTATTTTGGATCTTCTGTCTGGCAGTGCACATCATCAAAATCTTCTGGCAGATGGACTCTATGGTCCTCTTATCATTCATTCGCCACGAGATCCGTTGAAAAGAGGAATAGACTTTGACGAAGATGTGGTGCTGATGATAGCAGATTGGTATCACAAGTATGCTTTGAAAAACTGTCATACGAAAAAACTCTCACTGAAACCTCTTGTTGTTCATTCAACAGTACTTCTTCAGAAATTGTTAAACACATGTTATCTGAACCAGGTTATTTCGGTACTCCAGCAGCTCCTAGTCCCAATTCTGTCATTATGAACGGAATTGGAGATTGGGATTGTAATCGATTTGCAACAATTCATCAAAGATGCGAAAAAACGAATTCTTTACCAGTCTTTAATGTAGTAGGAGGAAAAAGGATTCGATTTCGAATCATCAATGCAGGTTCTCATGCTATGATTTATTTCTCTGGTGACGAACATTCACTTAATGTTACAGAAGCGGATTCAACCCCTGTCTATGGACGTAAGTTTTTCACACTACTTTTGATCTTAAAAAGTTCAAACAAATTGATCATATGATGATGTCAGCTTCTAATGTACATAGAATCAAGTTTCATAATGGACAGCGTTACTCTGTAATTATCAATACTCAAGAAAAAGAAGTAGGAAGTAGCTTTTATTTGCGAGGAACGATGGATACTGATTGCTTTGCTTGGTTAGTGAATTAACTCCAACCCATCATCGTTTCTTGAAACTCGACTTGGAGGAGAGCTAAATGATTTTGAAATGTATCAGGGTGGCGGGTGATATACAGAAGACAGGTTTGGCTATTGTCCGCGTTATAAAACCTGATGAAGATATGAAATCATTAAAAGAATTTACGATACCTAATACTAAAGATTGGTCTGATGAAAAAGCTGGATCGTGTGTAGATCTCGATCCAGAATTACTAAATCCAATCATTCCAATCGATGTCCCTGAAACAGTAGCTGGATCTGGTACTCTAGCAAACGCATTTGGATTTCAAGTGATTTCTACTGGAGTTTCTATTCCTCGTGATCAAGCTTCTAAATTATCTTCCGAACCTAGATCTATTTCATCATCATCATCATCATCATCATCACCATCATCATATAGTTCGCCAATCTCACGGATCAAGCAAAGACAACTGAAACTCGATAGTACAAGGAAAGTTTTACCTCTAGGAACTGCCACTTCATCAGCTCCAGAGAAAAATCAAGATGGACCTCCACCCACTCCCGCAGGCGCACGAGGAGTGTTCTTTGTCAATGATGCCAACTGGAAGAGTTAGTAGTCTCATCTAAAACCTGGATTGGTCGATGAGATATGAACACTGACATATTCTACAACTTATTTTCTTGCTTTTGGTTCGGATAAATAACAGCATATCCATACCATCCTGTTCTTCATGATATGTTACCAGGTGGCCCGGGTTCTTTAGATAATGCAGAAATAGCAAATGTTGTAGTAAGTCCGGATCAGCTCTTCATTTATATTCATCAAGCCAAATGAACTACTAAGTCTAATATTGTTTGATTGCCTCGCTTTCTTTTTGGAATACGCAGTACCCAAACGCTGAATGGTATGACCTTTATCTCGTCAACCTGGATCCAGCTATAAGTCATTCCTATCACTTAGTAAGTAACACTTCTTTCACCCTGTTTCTGAAAGAGGTATCTTAAAGCTATATATTTTTGTGGTTTATAGCACGCTATGGATATGCATCTGGTGGCATTTGGAAAAGGGAAACCAACACCTGAGAACTTGAGCAAACTAAAATATCGTACAAAGAATCCACTGAGAAGGTAAGAAAGATTTTTATCTTTTTATTGTAAAATGAAGTTGACATTGATTGTATGTTTTTTTGGGAAATAGGGATACTATAGTTATTGACGCAGCTTCATATGCTGTTGTGAGGGTTTTGGCTGATATACCTGGAGTTTGGATCATGGTACGTATGAAATTATTTTTTGATTTAATTACTTTCTTTGTGTGAACCTGATCATCTGTTTATGATTGTCTACTTAGCACTGTCATATAGGTTGGCATTTGTACGTGATTTTATCTGTTTATAAGAATCTTTTGATGGGTGTTCCGATACGTCTCATATATTGACCTTTCAATGATCCTTTTTCATCTGAATGAACCGCCTAACAGGGCTGGAGGTAAGTCAAACAGAATTTATAATCAAATGCTTTTATAGAGTGACTCCCGCAATTTTTTTGGACCTGATTTGTTTTTTTGGTCTTTTTCTTTTTGTAGGATTTGCAGGTGTAGTAATTGTACAACCTAATAAAATTAAACAACTTAAAATTCCTAATGAAAACAAATCATTATGTAAAAACAGAAAAAGTCCTTTAAATCAATATCAACCAGGTAAACGTCGTTAAAAATGTTTGAAATGTTTTCTTTTTTTCTTCTTTTCTTTCTTGAAGCATCATTTATTGAAATCTCTAATGATGCATTATTATTAAATTTTATTTATTTGAATTATTTTATTGTTTTCCAACCATTTTTATCATTGTTTGTAGAAATCTTTGATGTGATTTATTTGAATAAATGTAAGTTCGGTTGATTGAATATTTGTATTATGTTTGAAGCAAAGAGACGATTATGTTACGTTATGTTATGTATGTACGTCCATTCCTCGTTCATCAGGGAAGCAAGTAGTGTGAGGTGAATCATAAGGAGTTTGTGAAACTCTGGACTTTTACCATCTGAGTTCAACCTCCGGGTAGAGTTTGCTTGAAACTCCCCAAGCCTATCCTTCCACCTATGATCCTAGTCTTTGCCTAAGACTCAATAATCATTGCGTGGTGTGGGGATGGCCCCAAAGGGTGATGGTGCTCGGAAAGGAGCCTGAATAGACTCGTCTTCGAGAAACACCACCTGTGGGGCGAGAACAGACCTGAGAAGGTTCTACTTCTCAACCCGGGAGGAGGGTGGGTTTTTTTCTAAAATTTTCTATAAGGAGAGTTCTTAGAAAAGAATGCTACTTGCTGAGGAAGTGCAGGTGCGGCTAGGAAGAAATCCAGAAGATGGAAGTGGGAAAAAAAAAAATATTTCACATCTTCTATTTCTTCCAAATCAGTCGAGGTCTGATGTCAACCAAACGGGCGTGACATCTCCGACCCGTGATTCCTTCCTGCACCCGAAGTCCCTTCCCTTCTTCCTGGAATGGACCTCAGTGTACAACCGCAGGCTATAGAACACTAACAATTAATTTATAGGGAAAATTTCAACTCAACCAAGTTCCTTGTGCAGAGGTCTAACATATCAAGTGATGCCCAAGGCACAAGGGACTTATATGAAATATGGATTTTGGCACAGAAGGTATTGCAATTTAGTAGAGGAAATCTTAGATTTCCAGCTCATCAAATTTCAAATTTCATTTTTTTTTAAAAGTGGTCAGGGAGAGCACCTGCTTCTCAGCAAGAGATCCCTTGGTTCAAAATTTTCAAAAAAAACTAAGGGCATGTTCACTTGAGGAATTTCTGACCAGAAATCACATTCTGTAAATTTTTTAACACAAAAATGAAAAATGCACAACCAAATAGACACTTGAAATTTTGCAGAATGTGATTTCTCACCAGAAATTGCTTAAGTGAACACACCCTAAAAGTTTCCCTTACACGGTCAACACAGTCCCACATAGATTCAATGGATGACTGCAGACCACTGGTAGCACAGCCAACAAATTTACCTCAGATTTTTCAATACAAAGTATCATTGGACTTAAATTCTTTGACAAGATCTGTCTGGGGATTTGCATCCAATGATGCCTTGGATTCCGTGTCCTGAGGTATCTATGTTGGTGGTGTAGTGTAAGCCTGAATTTTGATTCACCTGTGGTAATAGATATACATAGATGTATATTTAGCCATTGTTAATAACTATATTGGTCATCAGATCTTTTGAATATCTTTGAGTGTCCATCCTCAACAATCAAGTGACACCCAGTGTCATCTGGAGTCATGAAGCTTTGAAATCAAAACAGTCCCATCAACTTACAAATACACCACAAACAATATATCAATGACTGAACCAATGCTGCCTTCCCTTCTTGTGAACGGCATGTCAAATTCTCAAAAGAAAATTGGGAATTTCCTTTAAATGATATAGTAATGGAACCACCAATAGATTTAAAAAGACTCTTTAAAGAAAGGACCTAATGAATTTAAAAAATACCAATTTCTAATGCACAACAAATACTGGAGAAGAAAGAGAGAAAGCTATTAAAAGATATAGAGAATTGCAATTTGAAAGAAGAAAGATCAAGTGGTCAAATTAATGAGTCTTGAAAAGTTGTATGTGTTTTTTGTTTTTGATACATCCAATGTGTGAGATTTGTTTACTGTCTTTCTGGAAAAGCTAACAAATTATTGAGCTGATCTCAACATTTTTGACCCGGCAAAATACCTCCACCTGTGTCTTGCCCCACCCCAGATCAATATTGTCTTCTGGTCTCAAGGAACCTGACTGGGATCTGACTCTCAAGTCCAACTGGTCTGCCATATGCACCAGTGATTGACAACACGGCTTGCATAATCCCATCTGATGCTTGATCACACAGAGTCACCCAAACCTGCTTACCACCTCACCCACCCCTCAGTGCAATACAAATTTGACTTGACCACCACCTTTCCTTTCCTTTTAACTTGCTTTTCAAATTGTACCAATTGTATTACTCACCTGGCATGTTCATGTCAGCAACAAGTAGCAAAACAGGCCAGAAATTTTGAAGCAATCATCTGACTAATCTTTGCTTGTAGTATCAACTTGGCTCTATCAATTCAAGACTACACAATTCCTTTTCTACCTTACCTTTAGTGTAGAGGCAGCCAAACAGAATCTGACTCCTCACATTTGACCTCTGCACAGGGGGCTTAGTTAAGCGGTTAAGAGAATTTTACACTCAACGATTTACACTCAATATGGAGTGTAAAATCGCATGAGTGTAAAATTCTACATATGTGGGCGCATTTACAGTTTTGCACTCAATCTCGCCGAATTTTTGGGGTGCAAAAATTTGCGTGTAAAATTTTGAGTGTAAAATTCCACCTTGACATGCGCTATTTACAAATTGCGCGCGAACTTTTTACACACAATATGATGTGTAAAAGACATGTGTGCAAATTTGTATTTTTACCGCGTAAACCTTAATTTTGCCCTCCATCCTCTTACACACAATAAGGAGTGCAAACACCCGGAATGTAAATAAGCAATAATCCACCCCCCAAATGTGATTTTACACTTTAACTTTGTGTGTAAAATATTTGAAACTTATAGGAGGAAAAGTGAGGAGGAAATAACTTTTCCTCCTATAAGTGTTTTATTTTTGAGATTTCCTTTTGGAGATCTCCTTCCAGGCACATAACTCACTCTCATCTCACTTTTCTCACTTTGCTCACTTTTCTCATCAACACAATTCCACCACTTAATTGGCCAAGTTACATTCCATCAACAAGGCCCGCCATTTAAACACACAAGACAAAACAAAGGAAGAAAGAAACACAACTCCCGCGCTTACCATTGCGATCCTAGCCAAGTAGACATTTGGTTGGTACATATAAATACATGTATCACGACAAAGAAAGATGTACTAAAACAAGATATCAAGCAATCAAAACTATTTTACCTTCCTCCCCTTAGGCTTAGCTGAAGCTTTTGGCTTCTTGACCACCCCATCCCCATCATTTCCCTGAACTTGAACTACTTGAGGGGTAGCACGTTTCTTTGAGTTGGTTGCTTTCTTGGGTGCCGTGCCAACTTTGGAAGCAGAAGGAGCCGAAGGGTTGACGGGCCTATCTGGTGGTGGTACAGGTTGCTTGACACGGATGTGCAGCGCTCCAGTGTCAGTACCGCTAGGTTCCAAGGTAGGTGGTGAGTCTTCAACACTTTCGGGCACATTGCTCATATAGTTTGACACTGCGAAACCAATTCCAAATGGTCAGTGGGATAAGACTTACGATAAATCATTAGGCAGTGTGACTTACTTTGATTTGGCGCAGGCGCAATTGTGCATACGTCATCAGTCCCTTCAGTCTTCACTTGGGTGACAGCTAGAGGGAACAGAAATATGTTAGGAATAAATGTAAATAAAAGCAAAACTTTCAGATGAAACTTACCAAGTGTTTTGAAAGCATCCTTGGCCTTGTTGCTGCCAACACGCACGGATGCAGCTGAAGGAGCAGAGTGTTCTACTTCTAACATTTGCTCCTCAAGACCCTCCAAGTCCTTGGTTGAAACAAACGGAACATCGCCTGGTGCATCCGGGTTTTTGTTGGCTATTTTAGCTACGCCGCGCTCAATGATTGTGCGTTCTTCGGTTGTAGGCTGGCGTGAGTATACTAACCAACTGGTATGGGGTTGGGCCCCCGAGATCAACCCTAGATCCCTACCGAGAAGTTGGGATTGACCATCATCTTTACGATCATTGAAATACCATACCCCACGTGCACCATCAAGGTATCTGACGAGCTTGCACCAATAATGATGGGAAGCCCAAAACCCTTGCGAAACTATCTCATACTTGATGTTGTTGAGAACAAAACATTCAGGCCAGTCCATATCCCCCATGAAGCTGTCACGTTCATCTCCTGCTAATCCTGCCACGTTTCCAAGGTGGAAATAAACGTTCATAGGCTTCTTAGTGAAATCCAAAATGTTCCGTTCGAACAATCGAGGTACATTGGCAGTGGGATCGACAGATAGTACTTGAACATCGTCGTGGATCTGAGAAGCTGCATTTGGAATAGACAAGTTACCTTGCTGCTGATGGTGGGTGGTGAGACACGTGGGGCAACAACGTGGGTTTGTAGAAAAAAGACCCTCAGTCTGCCAGATGGACACCAGTTTCGTGACGTCCGAGTAGGGCAAGTTGGCCTCTTGGAAGAGATCCGTGGTTAGCATAACAGTCGTTCAAACACTGATTTCAGAGTGTTGATGGCCGTCGAATTGTGTACATTGATAGTCACGAGTGAGGTTATAAGCGAAGAACTGTCCAATCAAAGAAGGAGAGTTGCATTCAGAGGCATTCAGGAAGTGCTCAATGAAACCATCGGCGCAGCAAAAAGAATCGGTGATGAATGAATTGGGTGCTAAAAGTTGGACGGCTGATTGAAGTGACTTGAGACCTCGTGTTAAGACCGATTTGATGTGAATACCACCGTGCATCTCTGCTGTAAGCCTGGCTGAGTAATGCCGGATGAGTTTGGCAGTTATGTCCTTACTCTTTCCCTTCAAGCCTTTGATCCACATTGGCGAAAAAGTTGGGAAGAGTGATTCCATGACAGCGGTTTCCCAGCATTGGTTGAGATTGCCGGGACTGGTGCTCGCTGAATACGACTGATAAGATGAGTGGGGATCTTGATTGATGTTGGCGGATCCTGCTGGGCGTCCAGCCTTCTTGGGGCCAAGAAGGGCATCAGTTGTGTTGGGTGGACGACCATCGTTGACATCTGGTTGGCGTCGGGTCCGCTCCTTGGACCAGCCCAAGGTTTCAACCACGGACGTCCAATTTGCACCGTACTTGACTGGGATGCCTTGTCATAGTTGATCATAGTCCCTTTTCAGAGATTCGACAAAGAGTAGAAGTTGAACAAAACCTTCAATGAGGGTACTGTGAGGGTTGGGTACTCTTTGAGAGTGCTCTATGCTCACTAAAGTTGGAAAATGGGTAGTGTAGTAATGAAATTTGATTCTTTATTTCAAATGTGTAGTATTTACAAAATGAAATAAAGAAAAGAAAGAAAGTAAAAGAGACTGATAGTCTGTTTGGATAAGTCCAGACAGACTACAGTTACATGACTCCTTGAAAGGAGGTTTGATTTATAATTAATAATTATTATAAAGTACAAAGGCTGGATCCAAGGCCCTCCTTTAATCTTTAAAGTAACAGATTAAAGAGTGAGGTGAAGGTCACTAGTCTGGTTGTTACAAAGTCACCAACTTATGGTTATTCAGAAGGTACACCAACCTGAGAGTTGATATAGGTCACTAACCTACGGTTGTTCAGAAGGTACATCAACCTGTGAGTTGATATAGGTCACTATCCTGTAGTTGTTCAAGAGGTAACTAACCTTGAATTTAATTGGAAGGTCACTAACCTAGAAATGTTCTACTTAGGGAAAGTAGAGGATCCAGAAAGGGGAAGAAAGAGATTACTTTATCTTTTAGTCAGGAAGCTGCTTTAAAGATATGAAGTGAATCACTAGTCTTATTATTATAAGACTTTTGATTATGTACTTCAATTGAACTTTAAAGGGTTCTTTAAAAGATGTGTGTAATAAATTGCTTGGGGGATTTTCTTGAATGCTGAGAGAGGAGGGGATTATATACTCTCCTCTCTAAACCTAACTGTAGTGGTATTTGTTTGTATCACAACATTGGTTTAGGGTTTGTTGTTAATGATTGTTATGATCATTATTAATTATGCTTAATTACATATACACACTAAGTATATTATGTAGTATAAGCATTTGAAACCAAAGCATTTTAACTCTTGACACTGAGTTATGAGGTGTTAATGATGTTTTATAACATACTACATGTGGTTTTAAGTGTAGATGTATATGTAATTAATATTGTTATGTGTTTTATTACATGTTACATACTGTCTATTGGCCGTATGTATATGTAATTAGGTTTGTATATGATAATTCTTTATTGCAAGTTAGTTTTGGGTACATGTATATGTACTCAGGGCTGACAGGTACAGTGGCCAGAACTGGACCCATATCGGTGATTAGTGAGATGTGTGTAAGATGCCATCTGAATTCATATTGCTACGAAAATCATGACCTACGTTAAGATGTAGTACTGTCGATGCATCGACTCTTGGCCGTTGGTGGTGTCAGGGAGATTGCCTTCAAATTCATGTCCAGGGAGTGGAGGGTCGTCCAACGGGAGACGTGGGCGCGCACAGAACAACATTGCATGGATGTCGGCTGTGTTCCACCAATCAAGCCAAGGATTCGATTTGGGAAAGAGTCGGGCAAGTTGATCAAATTTATCACCCAAGCACATTCCATTCGGTTGGTCTGGTTCAAGGAGGTCCAGAGCCAAGAATTTGAAGTTTTTCTATGCAAAAGAGATAGAGACGACTGTTAGTTTTAAGAAGTTTTGAGTTCAATTGGAAAAGGAAAGAAATCAAAACAAGACTTCACCACTTGACTGGCATCCACCACGTTGCGGTTTTTGGTGATACGAGTAATTGACTGGCAATAGTGCTCGTGGCACCCCTTCAACTTGTCCAGCGCTTTAGCAGGATCATTTTTGTTGAATACTTCCATGTACGCGGTGACAAAACCTTTCTTTTGAGCAACAGAGAAATCGACAACTTGTTGGACCAGTAGTTCGCGTTTGTGATGAGTCAGATCAGCTTCCTTGATTTGCTTGAGGAGGGTAGAGAAGTGAGCCCGATAATGGTTCACTTCTTGTCCCCATATCCAGGTCAGTTGGATCGGGATCCAGCAGTGCATAATCTCGTTGTACATCGAAGTCGTGAGGAGATACCCGTTGTGGAAAAAGCGGTACGTGACATCCAAAAGGAGACCTCCCGAGTATACCTTTCTGTTTTGGTCTCGACGAACCAGCTGCTCAGCTATCCACTCGGTTTGGAAGGTGATGTGGACGTCGGCGCCTAGGAGTGAGGTCGATATCAAGCGGAGGCCGTTCCTAGAAGACAAACGGCCAAAAAAAGTGAAAGAAATAAGTCAATGTCAAAAAGAGCAAGGAGAAGGACGGAAATAGGGAAAACTCACCGGCCCCAGTGCATTAGGTCTAAAATGAGTCGGTCACCTCCGCCCTTGGATTCTTTTTCAGGCATGAGGCCCTTTGCAACAAGTACTTTGCGTCGTAACTAGCCTAGTCGGCCAGCATTGCCAAAAGCTGGGTGTATCTCGGTGACTGGTGGGGTTACAGTGGCCCCAGCCCCAGCTCCAGCCTGACCGACCGAAAAGGATAAGTCAAGGTGCAAGTTAGCTTGGACCTTGAGGCGATATGGATAAAAGATCAGAGACATTGTTTGTACTCACTTTTAGAACCAACGGGCCTGCTTTTGGGTTCTTGACTAACTGTGCTTTGAGCGCTAACATCGCCAAAGGATCCGCTTTCTTCGAACTCGGCCACACATGCATATGGGTTCCTGAATGACAAAGTACTCCCCAGCCAGATTCCTTCTCAATGTCGATCCGACAGCTGGTTCCCGGGCATTGAGTCCAAACATGTCGTCCACTACATTTGACAGCTGGGCAAACGGGGAACCTGGACGTAGTAAGGTTTGACAAGGGAATCACTATCAGGACAAGAACCAAAAGATCATGCTTATCAGAAAGAAATAACTTAATCTTCAATCAATTCAGCGGCTTTTCCTTCTCCAGTGGGCGGTGGGGCAGCATATTCGCACACGTCATCATCACAGTGTAAAACCCCCAAGCAAGTAAACCAAATGGTCTTCCAAGGTCCAGACTTGGAGCCGCGGTTCTTTTGGGTGTGAGGATACAAGACGTGACCGAAGTTGGTGATCTGATCCTTTGCCTCACGAACAAATACCGTATCACCATTGGGATAGATGGGGTACCCTTGAGTGTCACAGGTGGTGCCATGGTCTATGTACGTCTTCAGTTTGCCGCTAGATGGAACAGGTTGCTTGAATTTCTTGCCAGTCTTCTTAGGACGGTTTCGCTTCTTCTTTTTTGTCTCAGAGGTTGTGTTGTTTGGATCTGGCAAGGGTGTGATATCGTCAAACAGGGTGGGATCGGGCTGCGCCGTGATCTGGTCAGCTACAACAGGATTGGTTGAGAAGTTTCCATCCGTCTGGGTGGGATGAGAGAGGGCAGGTTCCGAGTCGCCAGAATCATATCCCGACATGGCCAGACAAATCAGTCGCAACGTTAAGATGAATTGGTAGAATGGGAGCGATGGGTAAGAGCAATGTCGGGCCGTTGCGCTACATTACGTTATTCGGGCCATTTTGGGTAACGTATTGCTCAAATGCAGAAGCCGCACGGCCAGGATGCTAACGCAACACACAATTCACATATTTCAATTTCAGTGCAACGATACATTCTTTGGACGGCCGGAAACAAAAAAAAACGCAACGGAATCAGTGCAGAAAAAGCAACAACGCAACGTTTTTTTGGCTGTGCCACTACAAGATCAGCTAAAGTAGAATAAAAAAGAAACTTTGTCTTTGCTCAACAACAAAGAAGTTAACAGCGTTTATTTGAAATTTTATAGAGACTGAGTAAGAATTTTTTTAAGAAGCAAAGCAAAGTCATATCAAAAATTTGGAAAGGAAAACTTAAAGTTATCAAGTATTATTAATTTGAAGGAGGCGAAGGCTAAGTAGGAGCCTTCTCTTTTCCTTTAGATCGCTTCTTGACAGATTCCTCCCAAGCCTCAATCACCAAGCCCACTTCTTCAAAATCGTCAGTAATCGGCACCCCCTCACGTAGCCACAAGCGACTCCCTACGCACATCTCGATGGTGCGAGGCTTCAAACGTCCTCGCACGGCAGTTGCCACATCGGCAGCCGCCGAAAAGGTCCGCTCGGCTGCAGCTGAAGAACCTGGAACCGAAAGGTAGTCCCATGCTAATGATGCCAGGACAGGATACTTATGTTCATGTTCCTGGATATGGGGCAATTACATCTGTGATCAGTGAAACGCACAATATGTAAATAGTGAAGTAAACTACATACCTTCCACCATTGAAGAACAGGCTTAGGACTGTTCTCCATACCAGGTGAAATCAAGGGGTCCTCACCCTTCAAATACAGCTCAAGCTCATTAGCTACCAAAGGTGTTGCAGTCTCATAAAGTTGATATATATCGGGCACACTAGCTTCCGGGGCTTCACTTCGAGGACTTTGCGGTGAATTGGAGGGAATATTGAGTGCCGACTTGCGTTTCGAAAACTCGGTGTGAAGGTAATCGGTGGCGTGGAAGGTTCGCTCATGCTCCGGTCCAAGGGCGTGTTCAAAAAATCGTAAGCGAAGGGCAGGGTGACAAATTGCCGCCATGAGAAGGGTGTTACAGCCAAGAGCTTCCTCATAGTACACCTTTGTATGTTCGATACAAGCTTGAAAAAACGGTTGCATGCGGTCATCAGGTGGAATAGCTGCCGATCGAGCTCTCAAAGAGGTGAGTAGAGTTTGATATTCGGCAAGGACCATACACCCAGTGGGTGCATTGGCCTCCATTCGCTTAGTCAAAGTTTTGATGTGAAACGTACCTATTTCACATAACATACCTGTCACAAGTATGTTACACTACACAAAATGTCATCTTTACCGGGCGGTAAAGAAAACTACTGACATAGAAAAGTCCTGAGGCAACAGGAAGAGAGCTAAAAATCTGAAAAAATATGCACCTTGTTCCTAGATGTTGGGGCGTCATGACGAGTATTTTTTTGTATTTTACACACAGATATTGGTTAATGTACTAACAATAAAGGCTGAGAATCATCAAAAACCCACCTGTAACAATACCTGAAATTTGGCCCTTGACTTTGAAGACAGGATTTTGGAATCTTCAAACATCAATAACTTTTGCATTTCTGAATCAAATCACTCGATTTGAAGTGCATTAAAAAGTTGAGCCTTTCCTCTACATTTTTCATTGAGACATCACATCTGTAGCTGGTCTAAAAAAGATCCTACAGAGCTATTCATGCAGAACTGTTTGAACATATGTAGAGTGTTTAAATGACTAGATAGCACCTTACTAACATTATGAAGTGTGAAGGAGAATGGTTCAGCTTTTGAATGAACCAAAAATCGAGTTATTTGGAGCAGAATTGCAAAAGTTATTGAAGTTTTTAGACCACAAAATATTGTCTTCATACTCATGACCCAAATTTCAGGTATTGTTACATGTGAGTTTTTGTTGATTTTCAGTGTTTATTGTTAGTACATAAACCAATATCTGCGTGTAAAATACAAAAAAATACTCATCATGACGCCCCAACATCTAGGAACAAGGTGCATATTTTTCCAGATTTTTAGCTCTCTTCCTGTTCCCTCAGGACTTTTCTATGTCAGTAGTTTTCTTTACCGCCCGGTAAAGATGACATTTGGTGTAGTGTTAGCATATCTACTCCGAAATAAAATTTGTGACATAAAATGATAACGCACCGGTATGTAGGATTTAAAAATCGGCCCCGACCAATAGCGTAACCACGTTACGGTGCAGTGCGATAACGGCGGAAGGTAGCGTAACCGGCCCGACGTTGGTAAGAGGATTTGATGTGGTCGAGTTGACAATTTTGATAAAAGTTGTAAAATTGGATTAAAGGGTACAATTGGCAGTAGTACGTCAATTGGTGGGGAAAGAAGGGAAGGAGGACCACGGTTTCTTCAATGTGAGAATGAGGAATAGGGGACTTTGATTTGGATCGTATTGTTTCAATCCTCTTCAGTTGGAAACCGGATCCATTGGGGTGTGGTGGTGGACGCAAGATCCATGTCATCTTGCTTAGTGCGAGTTCGTTTGTTTGAATATTGGTCAGTATTGATATTCCGGAAGCTTGAGATGTGGTTCCAAATAGGTCATTTGAACCTGCCGAAGATCACATCTAGGATGAGGTGAGCTTAGTCCCGTGAGCTTTGACCTTTGAGCGTTCGAGGGGGTTGTACGACAGTTGAAATCGATGAGGGAGTGGTGAACTCCTTGATATGAGTGGAGTTTGTCAATAGAGGTGCAGGTATGAGGATTCAGCATGGGCTTGCAGAGCTGGGAATTCCGATTGGAATGCCCGGTTAATCCGGGATTAGCCATAGCCGAGCGGTTGGGGTTGATGATGCGTGTGTAAATTTCCATTTCTGGGGTAGCCTTTTAAAAAAAAACATTCGAGGGGTTTACCCCCGTTTTGGAGTGTAAACGCGATTGAAGGGCAAAATTAGGGATTTGGTGGTGAAATTAGATATTTACACCCTTATTTTTTTACACATCATATTGTGTGTAAAAAGTCACGTGCAAATTTGTAAATGGCGTATGTCACGGTGGACTTTGACACTCAAAATTTTGCACCCAAATTTTTGCACACCAAAAATTTGGCGAGATTGAGTGCAAAACTGCAAATGCGCCCACGTATGTAGAATTTTACACTCATGTGATTTTACACTCCATATTGAGTGTAAATTGTTGAGTGTAAAATTTTATCGACCCTTAGTTAAGTTACAGCCGTTGTGAGAACTAACAGTAACTTTTTTTTATTTTGTGTTGTGTTGAGATTTAATCCAAAACTGGCAAAAACTAAAAAAAACTCCTTTTTGACCATGAGTACCGTGGGATACAGGCATATTGCAGGAGCCAAAACAAGGTTTAGGCCTGTGAGATAAAAAAAAACTGAGTTTTGGACCAAAGATTAAACTCTAGTTAAAACTCGGCGACACCCATCACCTCAAAACTTACCAATAGTTCTCACAACGGCTGTAATGACACCGCGGGAATCAATGGGTATGAAACCCGATTGAAGAAAGTTGCGGTGACAGAGTCCGCAACTTTCTCGAATCACGGGTCTCGTTTGCAATACGTTCACATTACGTTCGCTGGCCGCCCTCTACAGCACACCCTGACTCATCATTCAACATCCGGCATTCACCACCACTTCGATTATCATCGACCCATCTCAATTCTTCTCGATAACGAACATCAACCACCTCGGTCTATGAAACCATATACGAGATTTAACACTTAACCTGCATCACATCTGTTTGATAAAGTTTGATATCTTCATTGTGTTTGTTCATACGTGATTTTTTTGGTTAAAGCTACTGATTATCTTCCGATGTGCGCATTACTCTTGTTGGAGAAAGTGTATAACCCCAATGTAGTGTTTTTCCATCATGTAAGAGAAAATCACAATCAATTTGAGTGAAGTAGAGTGAATTTCAAATGTTTCCACCTCCACATCGCACTCACAATCATGAAGAAAAACCAGACTCAAGTCAGCAATTCTTCTTGACCACATTCCTGGTTTATCTCCATACAACATTCTTTTTTGTCAACCATTCCTCACTGATCATTCACAGTCTCATTTGTATTATCATGTTTCTACTTTTGCTTTACCCTTCCTCTATATGCCACATTTGGCATCATGAAGTTGTCTCATTGAAGATGTTTATTTGGACTCCGGATGTTTATTTGGACTCCCTCAAATAAAAGTTTTGGAAGGTTGTCAAAAGCGATGTAGCTCCATGCCGATTTGGTGTAAGAGACTTGTGCTTGGTATAATACGTTCAACCCAAAGAATCAAAAGATGAAAAGATCACTTTGTGGTTTGATCAAATTTGATAGCAAATGTGTTAAACGAAAGGGCCTAATCTCAAAGGGCCATGATTTTCTCTTGAGGCAATATATTGTGAAACATCAGATTATTGATTGTTATTTAGAAGAATTGATGTTCGTTATCGAGAAGAATTGAGGTGAGTTGATGATAATCAAAGTGGTGGTGAATGCCTGATGTTGAATGATGAATCAGGGTGTACTAGAGGGCCGCCCGCGAACGTAATGCGAACGTAATGCAAACGAGACCCGTGATTCGAGAAAGTTGCGGACTCTGTCACCGCAACTTTCTTCAATCGGGTTTCATACCCATTGATTCCCGCGGTGTGAAAAGCTATGATTGTTTTCATGTCCATAGTATCCATGATTTTTTTTTTGGATTTTATTTCCAGCTTAACTTCAACAATTCTGGTTATATGCATGCATCTTCCTGTATACCAATTGATGGTTTTCAAGGCTGAATGACAAAGTTTTTTTAACCTCATCTTTCATATGAATGGGCTATATATTCAGTTTCCACAATGACTTTTTCAGAAGGATAGATTTCTCCTTGTTTCTTTTACTCAGTGTCGCACTTCTTTG